CCCCAAAACCCCAAAACCCCAAAACCCCAAAACCCCTTAATGGAAAAATCAGTGGATCATTTGATATCTTTTCAACTCACATGTTTATTTTTCACAAAACTTGAAAATTAAATTTTTGCTAAATTATCTTCATCAGCTTTATCAATGGAATCTTACCAAAACGATGAGTATAAGTCTTTTGATTAAGATCCAAAGTCAAATTTAACAATTTAAACTACAATTCACATATTTTGAACCTCTTTCATTTATTTGAATTTTGAGTCAGTAAATCAAAAGGATATAGCTAATGATATAATCTTTTAATGAATAATATAGCATCTTACCAAACAGATAGCTCATATACTTCTCCAATGAATCCATCATATGGCTATTTAGAGCCTGAAATACAATCAGATATGTCAAATGCACAGGATTACTATGCTGATTAAAGCTCCTTTCTTTATACTTCTTGTACTACAACTTCAGCTGCTTATTCTGATACTTGGCTTCCTCCAACTGCTCCTCAACTGAAGCAATCCTCTTTATATAAGACACAACTTTGTCGGCATTATGAACAGAAAGGATTCTGTAACTTAGGCGAAAGTTGAAGTTTTGCCCATGGAATAGAAGAATTAAGAGAAGCACCTCCCAAATCAACTGCTTTTGCATCCCTTGACAAGGATTGTAAAGAATCTAAGCTATTCAAAGCACCAACTAAGACTCAAGTTGATTACACCCAGTATTATAAAACAATTCTCTGTAGACACTTTAAGCAAACAGGGGAGTGACAGTTTGGTCTAAAATAAAAGTTCGCACATGGAGAAGCAGAATTAAGACCTTGTCCAATCTCAGGAGAGTATTTTTCAACTTCATATGTTTCTTATCCTCCTGATCTTATGCAAAATTATTACCCCCAGCAACCTGTTGGGTTAGCTTTCCAAAGCACTAACATCTCTGCATATCCACAACAAGCATCTTGGGTGGGAAGTTTAAGCACTAATGAACATATTGCTATTGATCCTTCTCCCAACTATTCTTACAGTTATAGCACAAGTTATTATCCACAAGCTCATTCACAGCCGTACTCGTACCCACTTGGCATGGTTCAGGCAGGTGTAAACCCAGATGAGACTTTGGGTTCTGGAGGGTTCATCCAGCCTCAAGTTTTCCCTTCTATTGGCCCCTTCTCACCAGAGATTCCTAAAAGTCAAGAGTAGATTGCACTTTGCCAAAATTGAGAAGAAGACAGATTTAATATACTTTAGAGTCAAACTTCCACTGAGTTTTGAGAAAACTGGCTTACATTTGAACACTTTTTAACAAATTTTTGCAGAATCCATTAATTGTTCTGATATTTATGAGAGCATTGAGAATACCATATATCTCATATAAAGACGTTTATGGGAAGCTCTAAATTGTCTTAGAAAACCTCTTTGGAAATAATGAAAGAAATTACTATAAAATAGAGGAAGTATCTTGAATTTTCTTTCAGATTACTTCAATAAGTAAATTTCACACATTCTTATCTGCTAAAATTAGGTCAAAAATATAAAGATTATTAGGAAGAGAGCTACCTTCGGCTTTTAAGCCACTTATGATTAGTATTAAAACCCTAGAGTTGAATTAAATTTTTTAAGGACATCCAAACTCCTTGGTCAAGATCTATCTAATGCTCTTGGATCTTGGCAAGTTTCTAAAATGTTATTATTAAATTAAAATATTATTGAAGTGGGGTTTTGGGGTTTTGGGGTTTTGGGGTTTTGGGG